ACTGCACTACCGAGGTATATAAAACTCCTTATGACTTCGATGTTTCCACCGCAAGCACGTACCGACCGCACAGGGTCTCCTAGTAGGCCCCCAAAATCCTGGATCTTGGTCTTGGTGCAGGAGACCTCTAGCCCCAGGGGCTTCGCTTCATTGCTAAATGCATCAAGAGCCGCCACTAGGGTTTCCAGAGATTCAGAAAGAATAGCAACATCATCAGCAAAGTCAAGGTCTGTAACCTTGATATTGCCCAGATTTGCTCCACAGTGACTTTGGACAGTAGCTCTACCCAGTATCCAATCCATGCAAGTGTTGAAAAGTGTTGGTGCAAGAACACAGCCTTACCTCACGCCTGAACTAACAGGAAAGAAGCTCAACAGGCCCCCACCACACTTTACATCACTTTCAGTGCCTGTATACAGGTTTGCTATTGGCCCAACAATCCTTGTTGGAATTCCTCTCAGTCTCAGGATCTCCCAGAGTGATTCGCAATGCACTGTATCAAACGCCTTCTTGAGGTCGATGTAAGCTGCGAGCAGCCCACGTCCGAACTCACGATGGCGCTCTACAATGACTCGAAGCGCCAGGATGCGGTCTATTGTGGACTTACCAGGAGTGAACCCAGATTGCTCCAGTCTTTGGTGCCTCAGGAGGTGGTCTCTGATACGTCTCAGTAAGATGTGGGCGAGTACCTTGCCTGGTACACTGAGCAGTGTAATGCCTCGGTGATTGCTGCAGTCCCACCGATCCCCTTTCCCCTTCCAGAGATTGATGACCACACCCCTCAGCAGGTCGGGGGGAATGGTACCGGTCTGCCAGATGGCAGACAGGCCTGCATGCAATCCCCTTGCCATAGGTTCTCCACCAGCCTTTAACAATTCAGCTGGGATGCCACAAATACCTGCTGCTTTACCACTCTTCAGTTTGGAGATCGCCCCCTTGACTTCAGTCAGGGAGGGTGGATCCTCGCTGATGGGTGGATCTGGCAGAGGAGTCTCAACATTACCAGCTTCCAAGTTAACTGTTGGTGGATCAACCTGATACAACTGCTCAAAATACTCAGCCCAATGCACACGCACCCCATCAGGATCTGAGATTACCTGTCTACTTGCTGAGCGGACTGCCGTCGTCTGTGAGGAGGGCTTGAGGTTCAGCTTTCTCAGAGCTTGGTAGGCAGGACGAAGGTCATTTACTAAGAAACGGCTTTCGACCTCCTCTGCAAGATTACTGATAAACTGTTCCTTATCCCTTCTCAACAGTGACCTAGTCCTGCGCGCCAGAGAGCGGTACAAATTGCGATCCCCTGACAATCGAGCCGCACGACAAGCTTCTGTGGCTTCTCCTGCGAGATGGAATTCTGTCTTGCTCTTGGGCGTACACCAATGGATTCCTGAGCTGCATCAAGCGTTTCACGCTTGAAGGAATCCCACATAACAACAGGATCTGTCAGGCCCTCGAGTGCTGTGAGACGACCAGAGATAGCCTCAGCAAACCCCCGGGCACACTCATCCTCCCCCAGTCTGTCCAGATGAAACACCCTGGGGTGTTCATTTGGTCGACGGGGGGTTCTAAAGTGGACCCAGAGAGTAGCCACAACTAGTCTATGATCAGTTCCACAGAACTCGGCGCCTCGATACACCCTGCAGTTCTGGAGGATCCTCCACCGAGTGCTGACGAGGATGTGGTCGATCTCCTTGGCCACCCTACCCGCATCGCTGTACCAAGTCCAGCGATGCGGGTCAGGACGCTGATTCCAGGAGCCAGAGATCCTCAATTTCATAAATATGCATATATACAATCATGAATGTGTATGTCTATTATACATATATACATACATACATATCTGTGTATACATATATATATATATATATATATAAAATACACAAAATATTTACATAGATCATTTGTTGAGGCACTTATTGCCAGGTACCTCTAGAATAATGTTTTTTTTTTTATAGTATTGTTACGGTTTTTAATTTGGTTAGAAACAGTTCGTTTTCATAAATTGAAGAAGGGAAATTAAAGTTTTAATATTGGTAATTATGTGAATATGGAGTTAATTATACGATTAATTATGTGTCTAGCTATATCTGGTATCTTAAGGCGAGTTCTCATTGGCTAGGCGTCGTGACGTCACAAGCTCCGCCCTTCTTTTTTAACCCCAAAAACTTATTTATTATTATTCTATATTATTGGGTATTTTAATTGCATTTTCTTTGAAAAAATATCCAGTTATGATAATATTTCAAAAGAATAAAAGATAAAAAGAAACGAAATCTAGAAAGAGAGAAAAAAAAAAAAAAATTGCAACTAATAAAAAAGACGTAAGAGGCGGGGCTTAGGTAGACGAGGGTTGCCAACTAGGGACTTTTTCATCGAGATATGTAAAAAAATACCTTTGATTTTGCGCGTAAATTTTTATTATAATTTCTGTATTTTATTTCATTTCTAAACGTTCATTTTTTTTAAAAATTATGTGCGTTTATTCCCCTCCAAGACGCGT